AAATTAAAACATGGAAAATAGGAGTGAAGGACAGCAGGATTGGAACCAAATGCAATTTTCTTTTGGTTATCAATGAAATTAATAAAACCCCGATGATATCTAGGACGCAGCGCTCATCATTATGATGAGATCTAAACCATTAAAAAAAATTTAAGGGTCTAAATTTAAAATTTTTAATCAATAATTTTTAAACAAAATGCAAGATTAAATCTAGAGTATATATTAGAAAAATTGCAAGCCCGTTTATTAAAGGGATAATTGCAAACCAAAAAAAAAGATTGTGAATATTGTAAAATCTCATATTAGGAATCATGATAGTACTTTAACTCGTTTTGACAAGAATTGATTTGCAAATAATAAAAATTTTTTGTGAGAATTTATTATCTGGGATTTTGTAATTTTCAAAGTCTTTTTTTTATTTTTTTTGCAATTTTACCTAGATTGAAGATTGATAAACTTAAGGGTAGAAAAGTTGTAGACTCCAGGTTAAGAGAGGTTGAGCTGATATTGGACTCAAATTTTTTGTAAACATTTTGAGATGTTCTAAAATTATTTGAAATACATTTTAGTCAAATATTATCATCAATTATTTATATTAGATTAACTTGGAACTCAAAGAGCAGGTGAACTTGGTAATTAATAAAAAATTTTGTAACTTAAGAAAGGTTGGTATGAGTCAGTTGCATTAGTTTCACCACATGTCCCATTTCAGCTACAGATTGTATAACTGATTGAGTGTTAGTAAGAGATTGTTAGCCTATAAATATCCCTTAATTGTAATCTCTATGTTATGTTGGGGAAATAATACACACATACTCCTATTTGTGTGTGCTGCATAACAATTTGGTATTAGAGTTGACTTTCCGATCACACCGCCATTATGTTGAAACAAGATTTGGTATACAGATTCGTCATCTTGAGCATCGTTTGGACTTGCACACCATCGCCATGGAGTTTAATCATGTCTAATTGGAACAAAACTCCTTAGATATAGGTTAACTGAAAACTTAGACGCTATTGTTACACAGCAAGGCCATCCAATTGCTTTTGCTAGCAAGCCTCTTAGTCCCCAAAAACAATCACTATTTGCTTATAAACTAAACTTATGGCAATTATATTTGCTTACAGCAATAGAGATCTTCCTTGGCTGACTCTGTTTTTACTATCAAGACAGATCATTTACCTTTGAAGCACTTGTTAAAGCAAAAATTAATGTTGCTGGATCAATTTAAGTTACTCAATAAAGTTGTACATGAGGATTGACTTATGAGATTAAGTATGCTAAAAGAAAAGACAATAAAGTCATGGATGTCTTTTGTTGCTAATTTGATGTTCCATCGGCTACAATATCAGTTCCTACAACTGAATTACATACTAAAGTGAAACAAACATGGGTTATTGATGATCATGTCAGCCAATTATTAAAGATTTAGAGCTAGATCCTACTTCTCGCCCCAAGTATACATGGTAGCAACAGTTGTTGAAGTGAAATGGAAAATTGGTAGTGGGCATTGATCACTCATTATGACATGACTTGCTTTCTTTCTTTCATTCAAATCCCATGGGAGGACACTTTGGCACCATTGCTACTTATAGAAGGCTTGTCTTTGTTTTTTATTGGAAAGGAATGTAGCATGATGTGAAGGGGTTTATTAGTTCATCTTCTACTTGTCAGCATTTTAAATCTAAACATGTTGCTTTACTTGGGTTATTATAAGCTTTATCTATCCCAGATCATGTGTGGTCTAAGCTTTCTATGAATTTTTTTAGTGGCTTGCCTCTTACATATTCTAAAATAATCATTTTGACAGTTATTGACAGACTTAACAAAGCTGCACATTTCATGCTACTTAAACATCTACTTTTAGTGTCAGATGTAGCTTGCCTCTTTCTTGATAACATTGTCAAAAAACTTCACGAGTTTCCCAAGTCCATTATGACTGATCGTGATCCTCTTTTTGAGGAAAATTTTGGAAGGAACCCTTTCAGCTCTATGGTGTTAAGTTGAATTACTCTTCAACCTATCATGCACAGTGAGATGGCCGAGCTGAGGTTTTGAATTGCTGCCTTGAATGTTATTTAAGGTGTATGACTGGTGACTTTTCAAAGCAATAGGTTCATTGGCTTTCTGTAGCTAAACTATGGTATAATACTACCTACCATTCTTTTATAGGCATGACTCCATTTGAGGCGGTTTATGGCATCCCTCTACCAATTCATTTACGTTTTCTACCTAGAGATTCATCAAATGATCTTGTTGATCACTTATGCACATCACCTGAGACAACCATTCAGGTGTTAAAAGACAGACTCTTGAAAGCTCAGCACTGCATGTTCCAGCGAGTCAATAAACACCATATTGAAAAGGAATTTTCAATGGAGACATTGTTTATCTTAAGCTTCACCCTTTTTGCAAAAATGTAATTTACAATTCTACATTACATAAGCTTGCCGCCTGGCATTTTGGACCATTTGAAGTCATTAAACGAGTTGGGAAGGTTGCTTGAACCTAAACTTCCTCTTGAAACAAAAGTGCATCCAATTTTTCATGTTTCATTGTTGAAGAAATGTGTTAGTAAGTCCTTCCAGTTGCTACTTCATTGCCTATGATAGATGCTGAGAGTCAATTTTCTCTTAAACCTGAGTGTATTCTTCACCATAAGCTTGTCAAGTGTGGTTCATTGCTTGTTACTCAAGTTCTAGTTCATTGGAATCAAAGCAGACTTAAAAACACTTGGGAGGATCTTTCCTTCCTCAAACAACAATTTATGCATTTGACTGTTCTGCTCCACCATCCAACATCATCCTTGTAGACAAGAATATTCTTTAGGTGGGGTGTAAATGATATGAGTTAATTACATTAGTTTTAGCACATGTCCATTTCAGTTATAGACGGTGTATAACTGGTTGATTGTTAGTGAGGGATTATTAGCCTATGAATATCCCTTTATTGTAATCTCTATGTTCTGTTGAGGAAATAATACACACGTGACTCTCTCTCTCTCTCTCTCTCTCTGTGGTGCGTAACAAAAAAACCTTTTAATAACTATAAGTGCAAGAACAAATAAGTGAGTAATACAAAAATTAATATGAATAATTATGCTAGAATTGATAAAAATATAAAAGAAGAGAGTATCCAAACTATAAAACTTAGTCTATGTCTAGTTCCCAAAAAATCTTCTGGTATTTTCCATTATATACCACATAAGTTTGATCTGGACACTACAAATTAGTCTATGTTTGATTCGTACATGTAAGGCATCACTACAAATTTTTTTCAAGGTCAATCTTTCCCTTAATCCCAAGGGAACACTCTTCCTTGTAGTTACACAAATTACTCATGAAAACTCTCATAAAGAGTGGGATGAGAGAATAATAATTGGTGGCTCGAGGGGAATGGTTTCATGATAGAGAATATATAAATATGAATTCAATCATCTCAACTTTTTCTCATATTTCCTCTCTTTTCCTTGCACTTTAAACTTGTTTAGAGTGGCATGTTTATAAACCAATATGTGAAATAACTGTTAGAAAGAACTAGATGTATGTTGCTGTTAGAAACTAATCATGTTTAGTCGTTGGAGAGCATTTCTGACTACTTGATGTATTAAAGATTTAGATGTTAATCAATATATTATCATTTTGGAATACTGAACTTTGAAGCTTGTTAATGTAATGTTTGTCATGGAGACTAACTCGTTAGAGTTAAAAATATGATAGATGATGCGTTTGCCAAAAAGGCTTAGCACATTAGACACAGGAGTATTGGAACTTTGCTTTGGACAATATGGATAACATATTAAAACATCAATGCTAACATAGTTGAAGTTTTTTAGAGTATGTATAAGTTATTCTCCTCAGATGTTTAATGCATTAGCATAATTTGCTTAGTTCGTTCTTTAGAACTAGAATAACATGATTCATAAATTATATTATCTCTTATCCTTAAAATAAGAGTTAGTTGAAGATTTAATTTAGTCATAAATATAGGATCTCAATCCACATTGTTTCCAATATTTATCTATTTTTTCCTCAATAATCTATACAGTGATTACAGATGTTAAAGAGTTTTCACCAAAAGGTAATTTCAATGCACATGACAACATCTAATTATTACAGACAACAAACTTAATTAATGTTCTTAATATTTAGAAATTAGTTATCTACCCCTTATATTAAGAACCCAAGGTAAACTTTTTGTGGAGTGATCAGATTGAAACTCATATGAATGATCAACATGTTAGGCAGAAGATCTAGCATGTTGACGAGATAAGTTCGTAATATTTAGAAACTCAACCATGCACAGATTAACACATTAGCACTTAATATATGTATTAAAGATTGAAAAGAAAAACTCTTTTAAGCTTTATAGTAAGAATTCTAGATTTTCCATACACTTGAGTAGATTAACTCATCAGTCCAAATGACAATCGTGTTAAATGTGTGTCATATTTTGCTCCAAACATTAACTAATTTGTTAGTATTTTTCCACGGTGTGTTAATTAAGACATAGATAGTGTGAAGCACTTTGGACGACTTATTTAATTAACACGTCAAAGATGAATCAAGACACGTTAAATGAGAGGAGACCAGTCGAAACTAGTATAAATCCAGCTAGAACAAATCTCTGAGAACCAATCAAAAATTAGGAGAACTTTCGAGACTAAGAAATTTGCTACTTCAAGCTTTTTTAAATAACTTCGCACCATTGCTTCGATAAAACATGTGTTTCCTATATTACTATTACCACACACCCATTATTGTTCTATATAACTATTACACACACATATGCTTCATGCTTTATAATGAATTGAAGATAGATTCTCATCAGTTGACAATTTTGAGTCCAGTATATGACAATGGGAGAATATTAATTTATCATTAAAGTTGATTACTAAGTTAACAAATAATTTAGTAATTCATAAAGGTTATTTTATTTCCCATATAACAATGTAATATATAAAATCGAGAATATACTAATTTTATATGATCAAACGAAGTATAAAGGAACCAGTGCCTTAGTCAATTTAACAAGGGAGCAATTTTAAAAGGAATAACAATTGTAATTTCAAATTTGAATCTAATTCTAGCAAAATGACAAAAATAACAATTATTGCTTTGTAAAAAACTTCCCAATTTATTGTGGGCAGTGTAATTCAATATCATTTGTCTTTCCTCTGTCACATATATTTCGATTAAACTTGACTTTTAACATCATTCCAGAGAGCAAAGCTGATTTCTACATTATCGAAACCAACTTCATGTCTTTCTTCCACATCAGTAACTTCTGTTAACAGAGCCCTTTCTTCCTCGCGTTTTCCTTCATCTCCAGTTTCCTCTGCACTTTCTTGTAGCTGCAACGCGAATTCTAGGCCCCACTCAACTTCACTCATCGATGGTCGTTCATTTGGGTCATCTTCCAAACATTTTAACGCCATGTCGCTGAACGCTTTAAGGCTCTCTGGTCTGATACTTTCTGTTATGAACGAATCAACAGTTTCACAAATCACACCCTCGCGATGGCATTTGCTGACCCATTCTACTAAGCTTGCCTTCTCCTTCTCCACAGTACGTAAGAAAGGTGGCCTCCCACACAATACTTCGAGTAAAACCACACCAAACGAATAAACATCAGACTTCAGAGTCAACCTTTGGCGTTTATAGTATTCTGGATCCAAATAACCAATGCTTCCTTTCACCACTGTGGAAATGTGGGACTTGGACATCCCAGTGGGTCCTATTTTCGATAATCCAAAGTCAGAAAACTTAGCCACCCATTTTTCGTCAAGTAAAATGTTCGTCGTCTTCACGTCACGATGAATGATATTTCGTATCGCACCTGTATGAAGATAATGTAGTCCTTGCGCTGCACCCTGGCAAATTTTCAACCTCTGCTTCCAGGAAAGGGGATGGTTGTTAGAATTGTAAAGATGGTCACGGAGGGTCCCACGAGCCATGAACTCATAGACGAGGATCATTTCGTTGCCATCGTTGCAGTAGCCAATGAGAGAGACTAAGTGATTGTGACGAAGCTGGGAGAGCATTTCAATCTCAGTTCGGAACTCGTGGAGCCCTTGTTGCGACCCTTGTTTGAGTCGTTTGATTGCCACCGGAGTTTGACCGTCGTTAATGTAACCTTTGTAGACGTTGCCGAATCCTCCGACTCCGATGAGGAAGAGTTCATCGAAGTTGTTGGTGGCGGCTCTGATCTCAACGATGGGAGAGTGATGGCACAATTCCGTCCGTACAATTGAGCCGCTGGTAATAATATTCACTGATTTGGTGGTAAATAATTGAAAGCGCTTGAAAATTCCATAATCGCTCGACTTGACGTTCATCCCGCGAGTAATGAGGCAGAAAGCAACAATGAGAACCAAAACGGCGACGAAAGCTGCAGTGCAAACCACGACCCCAATTATCTTGCTTCTTCTTCTTCTCTGATTTTCTCGGGGTAGCTCATTAGAATTGGGTGGTGGAGGAGGAGGAAGATAAGAGTTGGGTCCGGCGAGATTTCGATCACTGATTTTGAAAATCTCAAGTCCGTTCAAGAATGCATCACTGTACTCAGTCATCGATCCCGAGACAGGATGCATTTTGAGTGAAAGATTAGCTGGTTTTGCATCACCTGGGACAATTACGGCATAGTCTTTATATACCGGAACTGCTTTTCCCTTTGCCCATTTTAACACATTCGCACCCTCCTCAGCTAACTGGTCGGCTATGTAAATATCAAACATTCTGTTGTAGGAATCGTTGATACCTGGAGTAAGCTCACAAAAATGGAGTCTCAGCATGTAGGTAAAGCCTGAATCGACAGGAAACTCCCAAGTAAGGTTAGTGCTCTTGTTCAAAGTTTTGTTCATCCCCATATTACGTTCTGTTCGGTAGACTCGCTCAGGTACTGTGTAATTAGGAACTTTAGTGAATATCAGGGGTCTTCTCTCACCCTCAAAATCAGCAGGTAATTGACAATGACTTACTAGAAAACTGTCATCGAAGTCCCAAGATCGGAGCATTCCTGTGTCATCCGTATCTGAGATTTCGCACCCACCGACATTAAGCCGGTACTTTGTCTGGAGAGCAACGTTGGTGGGAATGTAAAACATGACCTGCGCACCAATTAAATTGAATCCAGGGCTATCAGCTTTGGTGTAATAGAGATAATCAGGCATGGATACTATCTCGATCCCATTAACAAATGCATATGATTGTGGGTTTGTTGAATTTGGAGTGAAAGTTAAGTTGAGATTCCCACCATCGCCAACGTTGACACAATATTCCCTGAGGATGGTATCTTCATGGTTCGAATCAGCTGTGACCGAAGCATTGAAATCCTGAAGGAGTATGAACCCACCAGATTTGACAGTGAAGAAGGCATCAGAACGGTTAAAACCTGGGTAAGAAGCTGGGTAGAAGAAGAGGCGGATGAATTTCTGGCCTGGAGACACAGGGAATGAATAGGAGAATTGGGAGCGAGATAGACGAGCTGTGGTGTGAGGGACTTGTTGAGCAGAAGGAGATTGAGTAAGTGCTGTGACTGCAACAGATTCGTCTTGTTTTGATAAGAACTTTGAGTCGATATCTCCGGTCCATGTCCGGTCATTTCCCGATGAGTTGCCGGAACAGCCACAGTTAATGCTGAATAGATCAACGGGGGTGTACAAAGAAGCAAGTGTGGAAAGGAAAAGGTGGGAAAAACAGAGGAGGAGGAAGAAGATGGTCCTTAATGATGCAGAAGTAGTATAATTACCGAGGCTCATCTCTGGAAGAGGTAGACGAAGACGGTGATTGGATAGAAACCGAACTATAGTTTCAAAAGTGTTTTTACGGTTTATGAAATAAATATATGAAGGAATTTATCTCGTTTTGTCAAAAAAATACTTTTAAAACTATAGTTTAAAGGTTACTAAACATCCCCAAGTCAGGTTTTGATGTAAGTAAATTTTGTAGTTCAATTAGCAGAAATCAGTTCCCGCTTTATAGGAGTTGGGTTCACGGATGCTAGTAGCTTTATAGGAGTTGGGTTCACGGATGCTAGTAGCCGCTTGCGAGGAAGCTTCTCGGGAGAGTAAACGTTCAAAGTCTACACAATAAAACATCGACCGTTGACTCATTCTACTGTTCATGCCACGTGGACCACTAACAGGTGAGGAGTCTCATAAGCGGTCTATGTGACGGAGCAACAATTGAGGGGAACCACTCCATGCTTTTGTCCATCACAGCATACTTTCTCCTCAATCCTCATTATTCACTTTTGGTTAATTTTAATCTGCAGTGTTTGGATTTTATACCTGTAGGAGCTAGTTAAATTTTTTTTTTTTTAACGAAATGTAAAAATTTAATTCATTTTATCTTTTAAATTTATAATTAGATAAAGGTTCTCTTAACATTGTGATGATATTTCTCAAATATACCTAACATTCTAATTCTTTTAGTAGAACAATTTTACCCACAATCTATTAAATGTTTGGTGCACTCTAACTCATGCTTTAGTTTTTTGATGTGACTGTAATTTGGTTACATTATATAAAAGTTGTTAATCATTTTATAAAAGACACAAAAATTATTAGTTTTAACCGTTAATATCAACAAAAGGAAAATAGGTATTTAAAATAAATTTTAAAAAACGATGAGATTGCGTCAAATTTAAATATCATGAATAAAATTGTACTACGAAAAAAATTATAGTGCTTAGTGCATCTGAAAAATAAAATCAGGATGTTTGGTACTATTTTATCCAGTATAATTTTTTTGTTCATTGTTCGAAATGGCCATAGTATCAAATATGAAAATTAACCACCAATGAAGCCAATCATTGATGACGACTTATAATGTTTGAGAATAATGGAAAAGGATAATAACAAAAATGAATCTTGATGGTAAATAGTATAGGAATCAATTCTTATATTAATAAAAAGGCACTTTAAGTGGCAAGAAATTGGTGAAATTAAATAAGTTATTTATGCACAGCTAAGCCAATGATATTACAGATCTTCTGAAACAACTAGAGATTTAAGATTACTTAGCAATATTCTTTCCGATCTATTAAAAAAAAGTGCTTCACAATAAATATTAATATGTACTTGAAATATGCTTTTCTATTTTTTATTTTTGGTATTGAAATATAATATAATATATTGATATTCCACTATATATTATAATACTCCTCCGGTCCTAATTATAAGACCCAATTGACTTATTTGAGGAAATTAAGGAAGTAATTTAAGTTGGTTATTTATAATAAATAAGTGTTGTCATTCCTAAAATATCCTTGCTAATTAAGTATATTGGCTAAAACTATCATTATTAGAAGGATTATCTTGGAAAAAAATGCATAAATATAAGAGACAAAATGGATTGGGTCTTATAATTAGGACCAAATAAAAAGTCAAATTGGGTTTTATAATAAGGACCGGAGGAGTATATAATTATATATTTTAAGGTTGTATAGCTTGTCCGCGGCCGAGCCCTATGAATAGCCGGGACTGAAAGTGTCCCTTTTTTTTTCCCGTTGTTTTTGTCAAGTGGGGAGGGTCATTTGTTTTTACGGGTTTATCATGAGGTCAACCGGCATCATGAACATCCGATGGTGCATGTAAAGAATCGATATGAAAGTTGCATCGATATTTATAAAAATATTATTGGTCACATTTTTTATACTGTCGCAGCATGAATGGGTAGATAATGCGGTTTAAGAAAGAACTTTTCTTTTCTAGTGGTGAAGTGTGCGTTGTATTTAATTGATGGACATAGCATATGACTTGCCAGTAGAGCTGTGAAAACGAGTCAAACTCATCAATTCAGTCGGTTTAAGCTTTTTTAAGTGAAGGGCTGGGTTTTTATTTTAAAAGATTAAAAAAATGGGCTTAAAAGAATTAACCCATTAGGGCTAAGAAATAAAAAGATCAGCCCTTTTAAGCCGCCCTTCTTTTTTATTATTATTATCTAAATATTTATATAATTATAGATTAGTCTTTTACAGACAAATCTAAACTAAAATTATTTAGAAGAATCAATACTTAAAATAATTAAAAAGAATTAGATGTTTTGAACTGATGGAAGAACAATTAAAATCAATTCCAAATTCTTTCAAGAATAGTAGCTGATATTCTTAGCATTTGAATCACTACACAGCCAGTGAATCTTCTACAGTAGCGAATGACAACTTCAGTAGGATTTGCATTGAATTCTCATCAGTTTTGATGAGCACCTAGTGCTTATCAGATCTGAACCGTTCAGATCCAATCTGGACAGTCCAGATTTAATTTAATTTTTATTTTTTTAAAATAATTATTTTAATAGGTATGGGATAAAAAATAAAAATAATTTCTTAATTATCATTTTTTAAAAAAATAATTTTTTATTTTAAAATAATTATTTAAAAATATTTAATTTGGACCGTCCAAATTAGATCTAGACAGTCCAAACTATTCATCAAGTGATAAGCACCCATTGCTTGATAAGTACCAAATACGGACCCTTTTCACCACCGCTTCAGTACCTTCCCGTCAGTCTTTAGTTTCATTGCCATCCCCTTGAATTAGATACATCCCACTGCACCTTTGTCCTCATAGAGTTTTCCCACCAAAGATAAAATTAGAAGGAAAAATCAAATAAAGAATGATAAAAGCTTAACTTAATCTTTTATAAAATTATTTTTGCATAAAATAGTGAAATTAATTATTTAGCTTAAAATTAATTTAAGTTAATAAATTTAAATATTTTACAAATATAAAAAGAAGGACTTACATTATATCTCTTATTTTCATTATCTTAAGGTCTCCAATCACACATGATTATTTGTCTTTTAGTGTTATATGAATTTATAGTTTAATTGTAATATTTTAAAAATTAGAACACATAACTATATGTAATTAAAAATTTAACATAATAAATATAAACAACGAAAAAACAAAATATTTATTCATTTATTTATTTATTAGAAAACACTTGGTCTCCGTGGTTTACTTTTCAACAAGTCGTCTTGACGTCCGTGCTTTAATAAACGACCATGGCGTGTGAATAAACAATACTCACGCAACAGACAGAGCTCTCGAACAGCAAAAATGAAGAAGACACTCTCACTTATCTTCATCATGCTGATGGTCCTACTGGTTCACGCAGATGTGAGCAGAGCAACCTCAGGGAACCTCAACCACAGCTTCACCGCCAGTGCGGCTCCGGCGACTGCCTCATCGGCGATGAAGTGGACGTGGTCGGCGAGTTCCAGATGAATTCTCACGCAGCAAGGATGCTTTACGATGTCAGCAGGTCTATCACTGGGAGAACACCGAACCGCGAGCAGGCTTCTGTGGATTGCCCTCAAACACAAGGATACCGAACCTGCCTTCCCACTGCAAATGGAGGCGCTCCGAGACAAAAATGCGGCGATTACACTCGAAATTGCTGAGAAATTAGTCAGTGTCTTGTGATTTGATTAAAAATTGTGATCTGATGGTGTTTGTTCCTCTGTTTTAACGCTTTCGGTTCCCCTGTACATGTAATTCTGGGTTTTTACCACTTTCTGTATATCGTGAGAAAGAATAATAATGAATCGCACCTGTGATAAAATAATAAGAGATTGTGATTAGAAGTAATTTCTGTAGCACACGGATTTAATACGACCGATCAATTTCCGCATCAAGCCTAATTTTTGGGTGATAGTTGTGTCCTTTGTGTTCTCCGATCACTTGGCATCGTCGGAAAATGAATTCGATGATATCTCACACCCCCCGGAGTTTCTGTAACCATGTATTTGTGTTGCAGTGAAAAGGATGGGCGTTGAGGCAAGACGATGAGGGTGGGGCCGCCCAAGTGGGCTCGTCTAGCCACTCGCCGCCCTTCATCTACTTTTTGCTCTCTTTTTTTTTCTGGTAAAAGTACTTTTTGAATTTTTACTAATTATTATTTTTTATCTTTCCATGGTTGCTATGCTTCAAACAAGTTGGACATCAAAGTTGTGGTTGGCGTTTAACAATAATTGATATTGATGTTATGAATAGCAAGTAGATGTCTATTTACCCTTCCTTTTCATCTTCTCTAAGTAACTTCTACTATCTCCATAATCTATTACTTTTCTACTATTCATAACTCTCACTATTCATTCACTTTTGTAACTCACATCCATTCACATTCATGGGATTGATTATCAAGTATTTGTTATTTAAGGATAATTGTAACATATGTATAAGACTATACCTATAAATAGGACACGTCATTTGTGTTGTAGTACAAGTGAAGAATTACAAAAGTTCTCTTATTCTCTTGTCTTCATCTTTCTACTTTTATGGTTTCATTTTGGTTCTATTTCATAAGACGTTATCAGCACGAAGTGCTCTTGTAATCGGAAGGTGTTGCAGTAAGGTTAATCAATCGCAAGGTAAATTTCTATATTACTTTTGTACTGATTTGTTTCATAACTATTCCATTCTCTTATTCATATTGATTTGTTTCATAACTATTCCATTCTCTTATTCATATTGATTTGTTTTATAACTATTCCATTCTCGTAATATTAATTTCCAATTGACTTTTATATAATAGTATTATCATGCCGAATCTCATGAAATTTGAGTTTGTGGCTCTTGACACTACTGGAAAGAATTATTTATCATGGATATTAAATGCAGAAATCCATCTAAATCCCAATGGTCTAGGAGACACAATTAAAAAAAACAACCAAGCATCCAACCAAGATAAAGCCAAAGTCATGATTTTTTTACGTC